GCTACCCTGTGTCTTTTGATTGGGGCATTTAGTCCCTTTACATTGAGAGTTATTACTGATAGAAACTTATTCATTTTTTCTCTTTGTACCTGTGTTTTTCTCTTTCTCACTCTTTTCCTTCATCTTCTTAAACTAGTCCCTTTAGCATATCTTGGAGTGCTTGTTTGGTGGAGACACATTCTTTTAGCCTTCTCTTGTCTGGGAAACTCCGTATTTCCCCTTTTATTTTAATTGAGAGCCTTGCTGGGTAGAGCAGCCTTGGTTGTAGGCCCTTGCTTTTCATGACTTGAAATATTTGTTGCCATTCCCTCTGGCTGGTAGGGCTTCTGTTGAGAAGTCAGCTGCTAGCCGTATCGGGGCTCCCTTGTATGTTACTTTCTCCTTCTCCCTTGCTGCCTTCAGGATTCTCTCTTTGTCTTTGACATTTGCCATTTTAATGATGAGGTGTCTTGGAGTGGACCTCCTTGGGTCCCTCTTGAATGGGGCCCTCTGTACCTCCTTCATCCATGAGACCTTTTCTCTCCTCAAATTGGGGAAATTTTCCATCATTACTTTTTCAAAGAGGTTCTCTATCCCTTGCTCCTCTTCTTCTCCTTCTGGTATCCCTTTTATGCAGATATTATTGCGGTTGATTGTCCTGCATTCCCCTCAATGCCTGTTCATTCTTTTTGAGTCTTTTTTCCATTTCTTGTTCTTTCTGGGACCTTTTCTCTACCTTATCCTACATCTCACTAATTTGATCCTTGGCTTCATCCAGCCTGCTTTCAATTCCTTCTGCTATGTTCTTCAATTCAGAAATGGTATTCTTCATATCCTCTTGTGTCTTCTTGGTAGTTTCTATGTCCTTTTCCATGTTGATAGAGTTTGCTGTAAGATCCTGATAGTTTCTCTGCAGTTTCTCACAGTTATCTTTGAGCTGGCTGAGCTCATTGAGCTTCCTTAGAACCATTGTTCTGGATTCAATATCTGATAGTTCCCTTGCCTCTATTTCATTTAGCTCTCTCTTTGGGGATTCCCTTTTTCTCCTCATTTGGTGGGAACTTCTTTTTCTTACCATTTTTGTGAGAGTGTGTTAAGTAATTTATTTATTTGTTTGTTTGTTTGTTTTTGCTTCTGCTTCAATTGGGCCATCTAGATTTCCTGACTTTGTGGATTAAACTTCTATGGTAGTAGGCAGGTCTTTTTATTTATTTATTTATTTATTTATTTATTTATTTATTTATTTATTTATTTCCCTTTACTTTTCTTTCTGGGCCTGCTTCTGGTGATGTCAGTTGTTGACACTGCATGGCCTTGGGTCATTTGTTTGAGCCTGCCAGGGGTCTACTGTCTGTGTCTGACTCCTGCTTTGGGCAGCTCTGTGACCTCTTCGGCCAGGGATCCACTGTTTCTGTCGATTGCTCTACAGTCTCACGCCAGCTCCTTGATATAGCTCCCTGGCCTGACAGGATCCCCCGCCCGTCTGGGCTCGTGCGTGCTTGTCCCAGCCCAGGGGGCTTGTTCGCGACCTCGCATACTCGTCTGACCCCCCAGGCTGGTTGGCCCCAGCACTGGTCCTTTTAGGGTTTTCTATTGTGTGCTTTCCCCACTTTTGGCTCTTTGGATGCGTTGCCTGCCCTCGCCAAATGGGGACTCCGGAAATGGGAGGAAGTCAGCTCCAGGACTCTGCGGTTAATCCTGTCTCCAGTCTCTCCTCCAGGTACTCTGGGCAGCTCTGTGACCGCTTCGGCCTGGGATTCACTATTTCTGCGGCCTGCTTTACAGTCGTGGGCCCACGCAGGTCGATTTACACCTAACCTCGCCGATCTGCGCACTCCCTCGCAGGCCCCTTCGGTGCCTACCTGTGGGAGCCCTCACCAGCTCGTGCGGGTCCACACACACACTCAACAACCCTCGCCGGCCACTCAGCGCAAGTGTGCGCACCTGCACTGGGTGGTTTTGGGTTCTCTATTGTGTGCTTTTCGGCTTTTGGCTCTTTGGGGGTGTGTCCTTTTCCCGCACAATGGAGACTAGGGAAAGGAGAAGGAGTCGGGACCTCCTGGTTCCTCCTCCCGTTCTTTCCCCAACGCCTCCATTTCCAGTCTCTCCTCAGGGGTCTCTGGGCAGTTCTGTGACCCCTTCGGCCAAGGATCCACCACCTGTGCGGACTGCGTTTCAATCACGGGCAGTCTTGTTTGTGCACGCCCCGCCTCTGCCTCTTTGGGGACGCACTTTGCCTGCCCAAAATGGAGACTAGAGAACGGGGAGGGAGTTGGGGCTCCCCGGTTCCTCCTCCCGTTCTTTCCCCAACATCTCCGTCTCCAGTCTCTCCTCAAGGCTCTCCCAGGCAGTCTGCACTGAGCCCCCCACCTAACACACGCACAAGCTGTGTGCGGAGCGCACAAAAGGCAGGTTAATTGATTCCCTTATGCTGAGCCAGATGGTAGCTGCAGAGTGGGAGGTGAGTTATCACTAGGGCTCCACCGGCCGCCATCTCAGTTCTCTTAACAAAGTTTTCTTCACCAGTCTTTTCCCAGGCTCCAGCCCACCCTGCTGCCACCTCTACTCAGAGATCAAGGAGGGTGGCTGCCACTGCAATTTTTGCCTTGGCCCTTTAAATGTCTCTTTGCATCCCCAGCCGCCTGTCTCTGGCAGAGAGCGCCCCTAAGCTTTTCGGGGTTGCGTTTTGTCTGTATTTTCCTGGTTTTAGCTGCCATAGTTTAGGGGTCCCTGTTTATGATTCAGATCCCGTTCTTCTTGTGGGGAAGCTGACTGGCCGTTTCAATGTCCCTCTGGTGCTAGTGCCCGTGGGCACCCAGCCCCACCCTCTCGAGCCTCCACCGCACTTCTCACCCGTTGGGATGTGTGAGAGTTGAAGCCACTGTCTGTCCGCAGCTCCAAGGCTCCTCTCCCACTCTCCACAAAAATTTTTGAAATATTTGTTCTAGTCTGTGAAATACATCATTGGGATCTTGATAGGAATTTCATTGAATCTATAGATTGCTTTGGGTAGTATGGACATTTTAAGGATGTTAATTATTCCTGCCCAGAAACACGGTATGTGCTTCCACTTGTACCTTCTTCAGTTTCTTTCTTTGGTTTCATATAATTTTCCATGTACATGTCTTTTACATGGAAACCTTAAACCTAGTTAAGTTTAATCCTAGGTATTTCATTCTTTTAGAAGCAATTGTGAATGTGATTATTTTCTTAATTTCCCTTTGTGTGAATTCATTATTGGCATATAACAGTACAGCTGATTTCTGGATATTAATTTTGTATCCTGCTACTCTACTGAATTCATTTGTCAGTTCTAGTAGTTTCTTGGTGTATTAGTATTTTGGAGTTCTCCATGTATAGTATCACGTCATCTGCAAATAAAGACAATTTTACTTCTTCCTTTCCACTTGGATGCCTTTTATTTCTTCTTGTCTGATTTCTGTGTCTAGGTTTTCAGTACTATGCTGAATAAGAGAGGTGAAAGCAGGCATCCCAGTCTTGTTCCCAATCTTAAAGGGAATGGACATCCCTATTCCCTGTACCTTTTGTCAGTTGAGTATGATGTTGGCAGTGTGTTTGTCATATAGGGCCTTTACTGGTTTAGGTATGTATTTATATTCCTCCTTTGAGGACAGTTTTTATCATAAATGGGTACTGGATTATATCAAATGCTTTTTCTGCATCAATTGATATGATCATATGGTTTTTATCCTTCATTTTGTTATGTGATGAATCACTTATTGATTTGCAAATGTTGTATATTAACCTTGCATTCCTGGAATAAACCCCACTTAATTATGGTGTATAGTCCTTTTGATGCATTGCTCTATTCAGTTTGCTAATATTTTGTTGAGGATTTTAGCATCTATGTTCATCAGGAATGTTGGCCTATAGCTTTCTTTTTTTGTAGTGTCTTTATCTGGTTTTGGAGTTAGGATAGTGCTCACTTTGTAAAATGAGTTTGGGAGCCTTCCCTCTTCTTGAATTTTATGAAATACTTGGATAAGGAAAGGTATTAATTCTTCTCTAATGTTTGGTGAAATTCACCTGGGAAGCCATCTGGTCCAGGGCCTTTGTTTCTTGGGAGTTTTTTTATTAGTGCTTCAATTTAGCTAGGTGTAATCTATCTATTCAGGTTCTTTGAATCTTCCTCATTTAGTTTTGGAAGGTTGTATGTATCTAGGAATTTATCCATTTCATACAGGTTTTCCAGTTTGTTGGCATTCAATTGTTCATAATATTTTCTTACAATCTTTGTATTTCTTCGGTGTTAGTTGTCATTTCTTCTCTTTAAATTCTGACTTTATTTATTTGTGTCCTTTCTCTTTTTTTCTTGATGAGTCTGGTTAAAGGTTTGTCAGTCTTATCTTTTCAAAGAACCAGCTCTTGGATTCATTGATCCTTTGTATCATTTTTTTAGACTCTGTTTCATTTATTTCTGCTCTGATCTGTATTATTTCCTTCCTTCTACTCACTTTGGGCTTCGGTTGTTCTTTATCAATTATATGTAGTTATTACAATATTATTGACTATATTTCCTATGCTACACTTTACATCCCTGTGATCTATTTCATTTTTTAAATGCTGATTGCCAAGACTACCAAAGAAGGAACTTTTTGAAACAGAAATACTGAGAATTTGACAAAAGCTCCTTTACTAAATGTAAATGAGCACTTCTAAAATACTTGGGGAAAAAAACAAAATATTAAAATTACTGTAAAAATGGATTATTTTCAAGGAGTTTGTAAATCTAGTAAGATCCAGATATTATTGGTGGTGGTGGTGGTGGTGTTGGGGGGAGGTGTCTTTAAAAAGCCCTGGCTTATGTGTAAGACAACCTTTTGACAATGTTAACACACCATGGGATGAGGGAATACAATGTTGCTTTTTTCTGAAGATTTTTCAAAATCAGATTTAGATATCTTATTAAGATACCATTTTTTAAAAGCCCCAGGAGTTTCTTTTGTCACTTAGTTTTTAATAATAAATTTTAATTATAAATTGCATTTATCTTGTTTCAGGTACAATATTTAGATCACGGACTCACTGAGAAAATCCCACAGTGCCATCTCTACCCTATTTTGCTATATCCTGACATACCCCAGTTTTGTATTCCTTGTCAGCTCCATCGTACCACACCTGTGAGTAAACAGTTATCTGTAGGATTACCTTTATTGTTTAATTATATTGTATTGGTTATGATATTACAACTGTTCCAATTTTCCCCCTTTGCCCCCCTCCCCCCAGCATCCCTTACTCCCTCAGCAATCCCCACACAATTGTTCATGTACGTGAGTTATGTGTAGGTTCTTTGGCTACTCCATTTCTTATATTGTATTTTACATCCACATGGCTATACTGTAACTACCTATTTGTATTCCTTAATCTTCCAACTTCTTCCCCATTCCCTCATACCCCTCTCCCATCTAGGAAAATCAAAACGTTCTCCATATCCATGATTTTGTCTCTGTGCTTCTTGTTTGCCTAGTTTGTTTCTTAGATTCACTTGTCTTTTTTTTATTAATTTATTTATTTTTCCAAATACATTGGTCTCTGCCTACCCCCCACCACTTTCCCCTTCGGTGTCCCCCCTCTCCCTCCCTCAATCCTTCCCGACTTTGGTTTTCTCCATGAGTCCTTGCTATATATTCCTTGACTTGCCCCTTCCCTTCCTTTTCCCCCGCCTGCCATCCCTCCTTCCCTCTTGTCTCTGTTGGTTTCTTTCCCTTTCAGCATTGCTGGTCTTATTTTCCTTGCATCTTTGTATTCTTGGTTAGGTTCCGCTTATAGGTGAGATCATATGGTATTTGTCTTTCACACCCTGGCTTATTTCACTTAGCATAATGCTCTCAAGTTCTATCCATGGTGTTGCGAAGTTTAGTTCTTTTTTTCTTTCTGCTGTGTAGTATTCCATTGTGTAAATGTACCATAGTTTTTTGATCCAATCATCTACTGATGGGCATTTCGGTTGCTTCAAACACTTGGCTATTGTAAATTGTGCTGCTATGAACATTGGGGTGCATAGGTTCTTTAAATTGGTGTTTTGGGATTCTTAGGGTATAGTCCCAACAGGGGAATCACTGGATCAAAAGGCAGTTCCATTTTCAGCTTTTTGAGGAAATTCCACACTCCTTTCCACAATGGCTCACCAGTCTGCATTCCCACCAACAGTGTACTAGGGTTCCCTTTTCTGCACAGCCTCACCAGCACCTGTTGTTTATTGATCTGTTTATGACGGCCATTCTGACTGGGGTGAGGTGGTATCTCATTGTGGTTTTGATCTGCATTTCTCTGCTGACAGGTGATACCAAGCATCCTTTCAAATGTCTCTGGGCCCTCTGTATCTCTTCCTTGGAAAATCGCCTGCCAGGGTCCTTTGCCCGTTTTTTTTATTGGGTCATTTCTCTTATTGGAGTGGAGTTGAGTGAGTTCTTTATATATCTTGGAGATCAAACCTCTATCTGATGTATCATTAGCAAATATATTTTACCATAGGGTTGGCTCCCGTTTCATTGTGCTGATGTTTTCTTTAGCCGTGCAGAAGCTTCTTATTTTGATGAGGTCCCACTTGTTTATTCTTTCCTTTATGTCCCTTGCTTTAGAAGACATATCAGTGAAAACATTGCTGCATGGGGTATCTGAGAGTTTCCTGCCAATGTTCTCCTCTAGGACTTTGATGGTGTTGCAACTTATACTTAAGTCTTTTATCCATCTTGAGTTTATTTTTGTGTATGGTGTCGGCTGATGATCCAATTCCAATTTTTTGCATGTAGCCGTCCAGCTCTCCCAACACCATTTGTGGAAGAGGCTATTATTGCTCCATTTTATGCTTCTGCCCCTTTGTCAAATATTAGGTGCCCATATAGACCTGGGCTTATTTCGGGGCTTTCTGTTCTGTTCCACTGGTCTATGCGTCTGTTCTTGTGCCAGGATTGCTTTGAGTATAGTGGCTTTGTAATATAGTATGATGTCCGGTATGGTGATCCTTCCTACTTTGTTTTTCTTTCTCAAAATTGCTGCGGCTATTTGGGGTCATTTATGGTTCCATATAAATTCTTGACATGTCTGTTCTATTTCTGTGAAATACGTCATTGGTATCTTAATAGGGATTGCGTTGAATCTATAAATTGCTTTGGGTAGTATGGACATTTTGATGATGCTAATTCTTCCAATCCATGAGCATGGTGTATGCTTCCATTTATTTGTGTCTTCCTTAATTTCTTTCTTCAATGTTGTATAGTTTTCTGCGTACAGGTCTTTTACCTGTTTGGTTAAATTTATTCCTACGTACTCTATTTTTCTTGTTGCTATATCAAATGGTATTTTTTTTCTGATTTATTCTTCTTTTTCATTGCTGGTGTACAAAAATGCCTTTGATTTCTGAATATTGACTTTGTATCCTGCTGTTTTGCCTAATTCACTTATTAGATTGAGTAATTTTTTGGTGGAGTCTACAGGGTTTTCTATGTACACTATCATGTCATCTGCAAACAATGGTAGTTATACTTCTTCCTTTCCTATTTGGGTGCCTTTTATTTCTTTTTGTTGTCTGACCGCTCTGGCTAGGACTTCCAATAACATGTTGAAAAGAAGTGCATTGTGTTCTCAATCTTATTTGGAAAGCTTTTAGTTTTTTCCCGTTGAGTATGATGTTGGGTGTAGGTTTTTCATGTATAACCTTTATTATGTTGAGGAATGCCCCATTTATTCCCATTTTGCTGAGTGTTTTGATCATAAATGGATGCTGGACCTTATCAATAGCTTTTTCCGCATCTGTTGAGATGGTCATGTGGTTTTGGTCTTTCCTTTTATTTATGCGATGTATCACGTTTATTGACTTGCATATATTGAACCATCCCTGCATGCCTGGGATGAATCCCACTTGATCATGTGGATAATCTTTTTAATGTGTTGCTGGATGCGGTTTGCCAATATTTTGTTGAGGATTTTAGCATCTATGTTTATCAGCTAAATATTGGCCTGTAGTTTTCTTTCTTTGTAGGGTCTTTATCTGGTTTTGGGATTAGGGTGATGCTGGCCTCATAAAAAGAGTCTGGGAGTCTTCCCTCCTCTTGGATTTTTTGGAGTAGTCTGAGAAGGACAGGGGTTAGCTCTTCCTCAAATGTTTTGTAAAATTCTCCTGTGAAACCATCAGGCCTACGGCTTTTGTGTGCCAGGAGTTTCTTGATTACTGCTTCAATTTCCCCAGCTGTTATTGGTCTGTTCAAGCTTTCTGTTTCTTCCTCCTTCGGTGTTGAAAGATTATACTTTTCTAAAAATTTGTCCATTTCCTCAAGGTTTCAAGGTTCTTGGCATATAATTTGTTCATAGTAGTTTCTGCCAATCCTTTGTATTTCTGTGGTGTCAGTTGTTATTTCTCCTCTTTCATTTCTGATATTATTAATGTAGGTCCTCTCCCTTTTTTTTTTTTTGATGAATCTGCTTAAAGCCTTGTCAACTTTATTTATCTTTTCAAAGAACCAGCTCCGGGATAGGTTGATCCACTGAATTGTTCTTTTCGTCTCTGTCATTCAGTTCTGCTCTAATCTTGACTGTTTCCTTCCTTCTACTAGCTCTGGGATTTATTTGATGTTTCTTTAGTTCTTGAAGTTGTAGTGTTAGCTCTTTTATTTGAAATGTTTCTATCTTTTTTTAGGTAAGCCTGTATTGTTATGAACTTCCTTCTGGGGACTGCCTTTCCTGTGTCCCATGGGTTTTGGACTGTTGTCTGTTCATTTTCATTTGTTTCCGGAAATGTTTTGATTTCTTCTCTTATCTCATTATTGACCCATTCATTCTTTAATAGTGTACTGTTCAGGCTCCATGAGTTTGCAAGTTTCTGAAGTTTCTCTTTGAGGTTGATTTCCAGTTTCAAGCCGTTGTGGTCCAAGAAAAAGCTTGGTATTATTTCAGTTTTCCTGAATTTGCTGAGGTTTGCTTTGTGTCCTATCATGTGGTCTATCTTTGAAAAACTTCCGTGAGCATTTGAAAAGAATGTGTATTTTTCTTCTTTGCGATGTAAGGTTCTATATATGTCCGTTAAGTCTATTTGATTCAGTGCGTCATTCAGCTCCACAGTATCTTTGTTAATGTTTTGTTTGGAAGATCTGTCCATTTTCGAGAGTGGGGTGTTGAAATCCCCTACTATCAGTGTGTTGCTGTCTATATCTTTTTTGAAGTCGTCCAACAATTTCCTTATATACTTGGGGGCTCCTACATTGGGAGCATATAAGTTTACAATGTTTATGTCTTCTCTCGATAGAGTCTTCCTTTAAGTGTTATAAATTGCCCCTCTGGGTCTCTTTTTATGGCCTTTGTTTTGAAATATATTTGTCTGATATAAATATTGCAACCCTTGCTTTCGTCTCTTGCCCGTTAGCTTGGAATGTTTTTTTCCATCCCTTTACTTTCAATCTGTGTATGTCTTTTGCTCTGAGGTGAGTCTTTTGTCAGCAGCATATGTCTGGGTCATGTTTTCTTATCCATTCAGCTACCCTGTGTCTTTTGATTGGGGCATTTAGTCCCTTTACATTGAGAGTTATTACTGATAGAAACTTATTCATTTTTTCTCTTTGTACCTGTGTTTTTCTCTTTCTCACTCTTTTCCTTCATCTTCTTAAACTAGTCCCTTTAGCATATCTTGGAGTGCTTGTTTGGTGGAGACACATTCTTTTAGCCTTCTCTTGTCTGGGAAACTCCGTATTTCCCCTTTTATTTTAATTGAGAGCCTTGCTGGGTAGAGCAGCCTTGGTTGTAGGCCCTTGCTTTTCATGACTTGAAATATTTGTTGCCATTCCCTCTGGCTGGTAGGGCTTCTGTTGAGAAGTCAGCTGCTAGCCGTATCGGGGCTCCCTTGTATGTTACTTTCTCCTTCTCCCTTGCTGCCTTCAGGATTCTCTCTTTGTCTTTGACATTTGCCATTTTAATGATGAGGTGTCTTGGAGTGGACCTCCTTGGGTCCCTCTTGAATGGGGCCCTCTGTACCTCCTTCATCCATGAGACCTTTTCTCTCCTCAAATTGGGGAAATTTTCCATCATTACTTTTTCAAAGAGGTTCTCTATCCCTTGCTCCTCTTCTTCTCCTTCTGGTATCCCTTTTATGCAGATATTATTGCGGTTGATTGTCCTGCATTCCCCTCAA